TTTGTTTTTACCATTTTGCCTAGCTTTACCATCGCCGTTTGGGGGAGAGGATTTGCCAAGCTTCTGACTGCACCATTCCAGAACTCCTGACACTCTCATCCCCAGGCACACTCTTAAGTTTATTTTAGGCCAGTAATGGTACCAACTATTTATTCAAAATTGGCTTCATTTTAATTGAAAATCTAATCTTTCTCCAAGCGCCATTAATGGCTCTATCAGCATCTTGAAAGCATTAGGGGGCCTTAAAGGGAACCATCTTACTGAATATAAACCACATGTTCCACCCCCAGACTTCAGCCCTCACTGAAACCGGGGCATCTACCTGTAGATACCCACACACTACCTCAGGGTACTTGGAGGTGGGTAGGAGAGGGATTTTCTGGCCCTCTTCTGTGACAGATGAAGTGTTAAGAAAACAGGTTGGTAAGCTCAGCTTTGCCGCGTGTGATTTCTGATACCCAACAATACAGTTGAAACCACATTATTATTCAGCCTCCGACTTCCTCCACCCAGCATTTATTACAAAAAACCTCTCCACAAGGCCCTGAAAAACCTCAGAATTCCATATGACAAACTATTCACACGCCAGTAAAGCCCTTCAGGGCCAGAGTGTCATGTGAGTAATTGGCAAGAACCTCTTTAAAAGAGATTCCGTTCAATAAAGTATCTTTAAAAAAACTTCACTAAACCTAAAGCTGAGCATCAAGTAATTACACTCTCAATCTTTCCAATTGCACAGTGTTTTGAAAATGTCACAAATTACAACCAAATGCTGCTGAAGCACATTTTATTGGTGGTTTTCTGGACCCCAGTTAAGGTGCTGGCCACGAGCAGAAAGTGAAAAGTCTGAACATTTTTCTCACAGAACTAATGGAAGCAGAGCATATAAGCAAAATATAGATGGACCCATTGAAATACACATATGTGATAACTTTGGTCTCTGGTTTCTTCTTCCATTGGAAAGAGGGTCAATATATGGCCATAAAATATGAAGGTTGTTATAGAAAATGCTTACTACAGCAGCAAGTTTTCACAAGGGACAAATCTTCCGAGGCGTGATTCACCGAGAGATAACACAAGAGTATGGCCTCTCATACATGCAAGGATAGTTCAGAAGTGTCCCACGGGCAGGACAAGTGTCAGAGGCCTTCCTCAGACTCACTTCTGCTCCTCGCCAGGACCTGCAGGGTCACTGGCTGGGTGAGAATTTGCATGCATTTATCGCCAAACAGAACCATTCAGAACCATTCAGCCATTTACTCCTTTATGTGACGTATCTTTATGGCCCGTTCCCTGTCCTCAAGGCTAAGAATACAGATATTTGGCATTGAACACCCAATTTTGGAAGCCACGACATCACAAGATAGAATTAGAACAAATAAACCACTCAAATTAATAAAATAAAAATATTTGCTACCGCCTGCCTGAATGCCCCTCAGTTCAGATGTTGAATCTGGGTAGGACCTTAGGGGAAAGCGTTAAACCACAGCTCACTGTCCTGATGACTGAATTGTCTTGTAAAAGGGCTGGAGGAGCTAGCTAAGCCCTTTTCTCTCCTTTGCCTTTCACCATATGAAGGCTTAACAGTAAAGTGTCGTCCTAGAAGCAGAGATCATGCTCTCAGCAGACACTGAACATACTAGCATCTTCATCTTGGACTCCCCAGCCTCCAGAATTGTGAAAAACACATTTCTATCATTTGTAAATTACCCAGTCTCAGGTCTATTCCTTCAGAAGTACAGACAGACTAAGATAGTAAAACTCTTAAGACACGCAGGTTGCAAACCAGTACTTATGGGTCAAACCTAACTGGGAGACAGATCTAACAGGTACACACAGATTCGTTTTGAAATCTGAGTTTCAGAGGAAAACTATGAAATCCAACCTCTAGTGCAAATTTGTACCCAGAACAAAAACCCTGCCATCTACACAAGCCAGGCCCTGAGCAATTTAGTTGTTGTTTGACTGGAATCTGTTTAATTCTGTTAAAATAGGCAAGCAGTTAATAAGTTAACAGGTCAGAAGTTTAAGAAAAATAGAGAAAATAGAATTTTCTTGATTTTAATGTTAACAGTAAAGAAATGTCAGCCGTGACGTAGTTTTGTCAGAGGAGTAATACTGCATAGTTTGCAGAGGGCAATTCAGGTGTAAATTCATAAACAAACAAAGGAATATGGGACAGTTGGAGGTAGAAGAGATTAAAGCATGAGCATGAAGTTGGGATTTTTCTGTACACGTGTTTCTTCTGAGTGGTTTGTGGAGGAGAGTAGGGAAGGCTTTTCTTTAAGAATACAGTTAGACTTATTCCACTCACGTTCACCCTCAGGGCAAGCGAGGGGCATTTTTCATTTCCAGAACTCTCCTCGCATTTAGAGCAAAACAGAGAAGAACAGAACCGAGCAGAAAGTGCTGTGAAGAGCCTTTAACTCCTCTAAGACATAAACCAAGGGGGTTCAAAACTCCAATGTGAAGGAAAAGAGATTTTGTCATTGGACACGCTCGAGGGCCGTTGCTCTGCTCCACCACTCTGTGTACACGGTACCCCACTTCTGTCTGCCTGGAAACACCGGCTAAAAAGGAGAGGACCCCACAGATAGACGCAGGGGCTGCCCCACTGTGCACCTGCTCACAGGGGCTCCTTTCTAAAGCACCTATTACAGTGTCTGCTATCGGGGGGCAACTGGCAAAGAAACAGACCCTCGCCTGCCCCCTTGGAGTTTGCATGGCCAAGAAGACAAGAGTTAAGCAAAAGAAGGCCACACACGGACTTGCAAGACAAGACACCTTAAGGGATCTGGTCTGGCACGGGGAGGTGCGAGACGGCCGCTAACAGCGCGCCACGCAGCGGCCAGTGGAGGATGAGCGCTAGACAGGGAAACGGGTCCGAACTCGTTAGCTGCCTCCCGGCAAAGGAGCAGAGGAAGAGCGCGGAAAGGCAGCCCTCAGGCTGGAATAGCGGGGCTCAGGGAGCAAGAGCCACGACCTGCCAGGCGTCAGAGGAGTCCTTAACGGCTTGGAAATTTAGCCTAAGAACCATAAAGATCACTTGAGGAGTTTCAAGTAGAGAAAAATGTCACATCAGGTGTCTTTATGAAAAGACTGCCGACTCCTTTCTGTGGAAATGGCCAAGAGCTGACGGACTGGAGGGAGGCTCAAGAGCACGCCCAAGTACAGACACGCCCAACACAGAAGCACGGCTTTGCCGAGAGGAAGCAACAGAAACAGGGAGGGTGAGGTTAGGGCACTAGTGAGAGATCTAACAGGGAGCAGGCTGCCTGGGGGGAACAGACGGTGGGAGAGAAGCGGGGGCATCCGTGAAACGGAGGCCTCAGCAAGGCCAAGGACTGTCACGATGGCAGCAGACAGTGAATGCGCCAGAAAGACAGAAGGACAGACAAGGCTGTGCACAAACGCTTCAGGGGAGGGGCCGCTGGGGGAGCAGCCACGTCCAGAACGTGCCTGACAGAAGGTAGCTGTGGAGGAGTGGAGGAGCAGCGCCCTGAAGGAAGTCCAGGGTGTTGAGGGGGCCCGTGCCAGTCCATCTCCGAGTCTGTTCCTGGAGGGAGAGGAGCCCCACCACAGCAGGACCCACGGGACGGCAGGTAAGGAGCTCCTCCGGGAAGATCCTGTGTCACTCCAGCCTCATCACCTCCACTCCACCTCCAGCCTGAGTGTTTGGCCTGACTAAACAAAACCAATCCTCACCACGGCCCTTTACAAGCCCAGAACTATCGCACGTGAACTGCTCAGCGCGTCTGCCTAGGGCGATGGTGTGCGGCGTAAGTGTCAGAGTTACTGGCTCCCTCGGCCTCTGCTCCACACAGAGCCATGGTTACGCTCCTTGCGCAACACCAAGTTCACATCTCATCTCTCCTAGGAGACTAAGAGATCGAGGGCAGATCACTACGCTTCCTTTGACTTCCTAGAACCACGCCTGGTGTGTAATAGATACTCAATAAAACATGTACATCTCAAAAAAGCTATAAGTGGTTTTGAAAGTTTTTGCCATACAGAAATGATACGTTTTTAAAGAAACACATATGTTTACCATGATTTAAACATTACACAATGTATATATGTATCAAAGTACATCATACCCCATAAATACATACTATATATGAATTTTTTTAATAAAAAAATATTTTTAAAAGAATGAATCAACCTTAATTATATAAAACCCAAAACTAGCATAACTAAAGTTTTAAAAGTCATGGGGGCTGGGGATTTAGCTCAGTGGCACAGCACCTGCCTGGCAAGCATAAGGTCATGAGTTCAATTCCCGGTACCAGAGAAAAACCAAAAAAAAAAACAAAGTCAGCATAATGATTAAATTGTGGATGGGTAGGGTAACTGAAAGGGCATAGTACTAATGTTATACTTCTTGATCTGGGTGTTGTTTATGTAGGTATGTTCCATTAAAATTGATTGATATGTATAATTAGATGCATACACTTCTGTACATATGTTATCTATGTATACGCCAATATTCTTTTAAATGGATGAAGTGAAATAATCAATCATTGGTAAAACTAAACTTAGCTTGAATTTGAAAAGTGCATTCAAACAGCAAGCTAAGGCAGGGCTGGCAAATATTTTCTATAAGGAGCAACATACATGTTACATATCTTAGGCCATGGAAAAGGTCTCCGTTGTGGTTACTCAGCTTTGCCGCTACAGCACGAAACTACCCTTAGATAATGCATAAACGAGTAACGGCGCCTAAATGGCTGTGTTCCAACCAAACATCTCTATGAACATTGGACTTCGAATGTCAGGTCATTTTCACGCGTCCTGAAATAATCTTTTTATTTTCTCAGTCATGAACTTTAAAGCCATTCTTAGCTCTCCAGCTGGACAAGAACGGGCTGCCAGCTGGCTGCAGCCTGCAGGAAACGCCTGCTGGCCCTCGGGCTGAGGGGAAGTACACACAAACCACATTCCTGGCCGGCCTACGGACTCGGCCGTCCCTCCCTCGCCCTGCTCCTCCCCTCCTCTCCCACCTTTATAAGTAGGCAGACACTCCATCTTGTCAGCACAGGGATATTTACTGTCCCGAGGTTTGATGGGGTCCACGCGGCCAACATGATAAGGGTTGAAATCTTGCTTATACGTCGTGAGCAAATCCATGTTCTCTTCACTTGGGACGTACCGGTCAGGCTGGTGGAGTTTCACTGGTAGCACCTTGTGAGGCGCAAAGTCTCTCCTGGAAAAACGTTAAGTACACGTCACTGGGATCCTTGCTTTATAATAAGGCTTGTGTTTTCTGTTCACCCCATCTCTACAAACATTTGCTGAGAAGTCACTGTTTACCCACCCCAGCTGCTCTTCCCCACCTCTCCCACTTTGGAGGGAGGGATCGTCGCATCTACCTCCTCACGCAGTCCGAGACCTGGGTGTCAGCCTTGCCCCTTTCCGGGCCGCCCAGAGGTTGTCCCTTACCAGACGCAGCCCCTCCACCTCACCGGCTTCTCCTGGTTCAGATCCTGACTGTTTCTTACGCCAACCGTGCGACAGCCCTGCTTCCCCTTCATTCTTTGTCACTTCCACCCCAACACCCATAGACCAGAGTAAACTCCCTAAACGAAAACTCAGATCACTTTTCTCCCCGTGTAGAAAGTCTTCCAAACGAAAACCAACTTTCTAGCACAATTCATAAGCTGCCCTGGGCCCGTCCCTCGCTCTGTGTCCGCCACCCTCGCCTGGCTCGCCCGTACTGAGCTCTAGCCACAGAGAGCCACTAGAAAGAGCCCTGCTCCTGTACCTGCCCTCCCACCTGCCTTCCACCCCGCCTGCGCTGCAGAGCTTGTTCAGGTTCTCCTGTCTGTTTCCTAGAATCCCAGTAGTTTATCTTGCTAGTGTTTATCTCTTTCTTCTCCTTGATCTTACAGAAAACCCAGGAGAGAAAAAAAAGTAAAATAATTGGAGCCCCTAAGTCTAACTGCATTGCTGTCTGCTAGCAGGGCCTCATTACTTCAAGGAGTGTTAAAACAAAAAAGGGAGCATAATAAGGGGGTGGATACAATCCAATACGTTACATGCATGTATGAAAATGCGCAGTGAAACTCTACCCCACATTGTCAATACGCACTAATTAGAAAGAAAGAAAATCGTAGAATCAGAAAAGCAGGATGATTTCTACTAAACGGAAAAGTCTCTGCCCAAATCACCGTCCGCCCCGATGCTACCTGTATCCCACATGGAGCTATCTGGCCACACCCAGTTATAGAAGCGCCCCGATGCTACCTGTATCCCACATGGAGCTATCTGGCCACACCCAGTTTAGCACGGCTTGTGCTGCCCACCAGGGTTCCCTCTCCCCAGCGCTAACACCCGCCACACCAAGGGCTTCTGCTTTGCGCTATAGTCTGTTTTTGCCCAAAACCCGTTTATCCAACTGGACAAGGAGAAGGCAGAGTTTCCCCGATGGTGTTTGCCAAAGCAGCCTCCCCAGGGGAGAGGGAAGGTTTCCGGACAGGAAAACATTAGGCCCAAACACCCATAAAACTTACTTCCCGGCCGAAATCTGGAGCAGTGCAACTGAGCCATGCTTGACTAGCAAAGGTGACACGCTCTGCTGTAACCTGTCTCGCGTGAATTACGCACAGGGCTGTCAATAAACCCAAAGTGGATCCTAAGAACGCTTGGCAGGATGGGAGGAGGGAGTTAGGAAGCGGGAGAATCAGTCTCCCCAGGGCTCCGAGGGGGAAGTGGGAGACGCTTCAATTGAATCACCATAATGCCTTCTGCGCAGATCTTCAAATCTATCTTAGTGGCAGGTACAGAGCCTGCAGCCTGGGCTGCCTTCCCGGGGGCCCCACTACTGACACACAGCCAGAGAGCTGAATGACCCTGAGGCATCTGGAAGCTGACTGTGTATGGGACTTCTGGAGGAAAAAAGTTAAACCAGAAGCCAAGGTCAGTCAGCTCCACCTCATACCCTTCTTGGTGAACAAGTACCTTACCCCGAGTCTTGTTCCGTGCTACACCAACTGTGGCAGGGGATAAAGAGTGTAAGGCTGTAGATTGCAGAGATAAATGGAAATACCCAAAATCCCTGTCTGAGAACCAGTTACCTAGAAAGGTAACTTTCTGTCCGAAGGTGGATGTTCCGGAGGAAATGCTCCCTCAGGACGTTGGGCCTACCCCCAGTGGGTGCAGTACGGTTTCGAGGTAACCAAAACCACACACCTTGAAGCCTTTATAAAGCCATGTCTGATGATCGCCACCTAAGCCACTGGCCTTCCTCACTTGCAAGAACTGTCAGGAGATGCCCAAAGGCAGGTAGTGAGGAAGAAAACCGGTTATCACACGGAACCCTCCCACTCATCCCAGAGCGCCCAGGAGTTCTTTCCACACACCGGCAGGCCAGGCCCAAACCCTGCACACACACGCCACAGCACCCTCTTCCGCTATCACTCCTACCAAAGAGCCGACTTCTCTCAGAGATACCACGAACCTTCCCAAGGGCTGTCGGGCCCTCTGACAAGGGAATGCTGCATTCGTAGGCAAAAAGCAAATGAAGGCTCAGAAGCTCACCAGTTGGGGCTGGGGATTTAGCTCAGCAGCAAAAGCACCTGCCTGGTAAGTGCAAGGTCAAGGGTTCAATTCCTGGAACCAGAAGAAAAAAAAAAAAAAAAAAAAAAGAAAGAAGCTCACCAGTTAAAGGACTTCCCTGAAGCTGGTTTCTCAAAGACAACAGCAGATGCAGTGAAATTCTTGCTCACTGTGTTTGGGTAATGACTTGTTACTGACTCTTTTCAATACAAAATTCAGGTTCCTGTATAAGGGTACATCTATGGTTTAATTTATTGATCAGTTATAACTCAGGCAAACAATTATAAAGAGGGTGTATCTCCTCGTGAAAAGAGGAAAATTTTTAAATTTAAAGTTTGGTTCATTTCGTCTGTACCCAAAAATAGTTAGTGGGGCTTAAGACTGAATTTAATCAGAATTTATGTGTTTCCTAATTATGTTTTTACGTTGAGAATGTTCACTAAAACCTATCATTAACCGCACTATAACTGTACGTCCCCAATCACACATAATCCTAGTCTTTAAGTTCATGTGAAAGAAATGTCTTTTATTCTTCCCAGAAGCTGCTCAAATTGACAAGCTTTTTCTTTTTTTTAAGAACACTGGCTCTCCCCTCTCCTCCTGCAGTATATTTCCTAGTGCTTGTGCCCACTCTGACTATGAACCAAGACAAAAAGTTGGTCAAAAATCTAAGTTTCTTTTAGGTAAGCAGCTATAAAAGTTATGTAGTCTGCAAGGCCAGGAGTCAAAGTCAGAGTTAAGGAAAGGTTAAAGTGGCCCTGCTGGGGAAATCATAACAACCTGACTTCAAATCAATTGGCAAAGCTAAAGAAAGTTGTTTGACAAGAATTCGACTAAAGAAAAGAGGAAGTAGCCTCACAGCTACCTAGGGTCACGGGCCTGATTTTCACCATGACAAAGGGGCCGTGCAGTACTGTTTAAAAATTGGTATTGCCCTGATAAACAATGCTCTGCCGAGGAATGCTTTTTTCCAAATCCTTCCAGCAAGATACCTATCCCAGACCACTGGAGATAGACCCCTGGGCTGAACCCAGGGCTGCATCCTGGCCCTGATCCTGATGGGATTCCAGCACATGCACTCCAAGGTTCAAGTTACACAGTACGATCTCCTCCTCTACCGCCATCTTTTCAAACGCTGCTAACTAAGGCAGAGACTCACATCTGTCACTAGTCTGGAAAAACACACACACACACATGCAGGCACACACGCACATGCAAACACGCACACATGCACATTTACAAAACTACCTGAAAGCACTAAAGAGTAATCAAAATAGGCAGATTTTGGAGGGTAACCACCAGGTGGAGAAGGAATTGGCGCACGCTGGGTAAGGCTTCACTGGTCAAGTTTCTATTGACTGCTTCAGATTCAAAGCTTCTAGCCTGAAGCCTTTCATCTGCACCGCCGAGCAGCCAGAAGACAAGTATTTTCCATTCTCTTTCTGAGCGAAGAAACAGAGGAGCAAATGTGAGGCAGCCACACACGCAAGAAAATAAGGGAAAAAACTGGGAAGAAGAGAACAGAGGCCGGAAGCCAAAACCTGTGTGAAACTGGGCTCAGGTCTGCCTCTGACCTCACGCACGCGGCCGACTTCAGACAACCACACCAAGGGGAGAGAACCGAACTGAGACTGGAGCAGCCACCCAGACGCGGAGTTTACATTTTGAGTCTAATCAGATATTTGCCCGATAAACAAAGCTCTTCAGAAGAAATATTTGTAAAATACTCGAGTCTCCATAGCACGACATTCACAGTCCTTACCAAACCAGGTAAGGGTTTCAAAGCTACTAAGTTAACTGTAAGAGTTAAGTAACTGTTTCTGAAGAAAGCAAAGTCTCCATAGCACGACATTCACAGTCCTTACCAAACCAGGTAAGGGTTTCAAAGCTACTAAGTTAACTGTGCCCTCTGAAGAAAGCAAAGCCCTTGCCAGGAAGGTCATGACGAACTACAAGATAAGAAGTCATGGAAAATGGAAATTATATGCAAATGTAGAACTGAAGGCTGAGAACGACAGTATCTGACGTAAGACACTCACCAGATGGTGGGTTTAGTAGAATGAGATGAGAGAGGAAATTCAGTGACCTTGGTGGTAGACTAATAGAAATTATCCAGTCTGAAAAACAAAGAGGGGACAAGAGGGTAAGGGGCAGAATGAATAAGGCACCAGGGACAGAAGAAATACAGGACAAAATAATGGCCAAAGGGCTCACGAATGCAACCAAAGACGCACATCATCAGAGACGATTCAAAGGCCGTGGAAAGCTGATTGCTGAGCGTCGCATCTGAAGTCTGCAGCAACCCTCAGGCCCAGCCTATGAAGAGGAATGACCAGATCCCCAGTGAGGTACCTCTGAGCCAGGGAGCTGAGCACATACTTGAACAGAAAATACACCAAATTCCACGGAAAGGGCGAGACTCAAGTCCGATACCAACTCTCCTGCTTCCTTCCCGGGTTTTGGAAAGGACACCAAACGCCCTCCTTCTTGTAGTGCTCTCCCCCTGACTCCTAGGTCTGCTAAGCAGTCTTACCGTAGACCAGAGAGTCTGAAATGCCTGATCCCAGCCTTCCACCTTTCAGCCAAATCCCTCACCTCTGAGCCCAATTCCATCAGCTCTCCTGTCTCTCCAGTACTCTACCCATTGTCTCCTCCCTTTTAGGATAAAAGCCTAACACCACTGCAGACGCGCCTCTTTCTGCCGAGGCAATTCCGTTGCCCACTTTAGGAGGGTACTCAGCCAACAAAAATAATGTCTCATATGGGAGCCCAGCTGTTTTATGTGGTGGCGTGCCTACGGGGAATGAGTCCTGAAGTGCAAACCTCTTATTCATAAATTCATCTCAGATCTACCTGAACTAAAGGCAAATCCTATGCAAGAGAATTACCAAAGGTTGCAACAAATGGCTTCAAACTAAGAACGGCTGGAACTCTCATGCATTTCCCTCACGGCACCTGCTTTAAATCCCCAAGATTTACGATCAGCAAGAGTTGTGCGCAGCTGTAATCATACCTCACGCTGGGATGATAACCTTTCCAGAAACCAGGTGTTCTGTGTGTCTGGGATTAATCTCCAGCCCAGCCAAGTCCTAGCCCACGTGACTTCTCCTTCAGCAGGTGGGAGCCCCATAGCCAGCCTCTCTCACTAAGCAGAGTCAACTTTCAGACAGGTAAGTGGGGGGGATATTGCGGTGATGAGCCCAAGGGCACATAACAACCCACACAGACAAAGTGCCGCAGAAATACAGGGCTGGCCCCTACCATTTCCCAGAAGCCTCTGGGAGAGCACCCCTCTGGTGGCTTCTCTACATTTGCTGAAACTGACATCGTTTCATTCTCAGTCTGTGAAAGCTTGCGTCTGGCGTGGCAGGCACAGGTTAAGAATAACAAAGCTGAAGTATAAGGAAGAGAAGACATTCCCTCTGCTCATTTCCTGACTTCTCTTTTTGGAGTAGGAAATAAATAAGAGAGACCTATGTCTGCTCTTTTTCTTCCCCATGAGTAAACTTGATTCTTCCACTTTTTCTTTCTAAAGTCCTTGTGATCATTAATTAATAGCTTGTTTTGGAAATTCTTCCAGTAACTGCGTCCTCCCCTCTAGCCACATCTTGAATTATATTTGTTGCTCGCCTCTGGGCAAAGGGGACTTGTGTAATATGTTTATTATTGTAAGTGACACAAGGCAAGGATAATTTAGGACAGGTCAGAGGGTAAGTTTTTGTTTTGCAAAGCACCATCAGGAGAAGGGGGAATATGTAGGGCTACATCTGGGGACATCAGAGCTGGAGGATTTGTCTAGGATTTGTCTTTATTCTCCTAAACTTTGGCAGCAAAGAGCACCCAACCCTGGAAGCACCCTTTCTGTACTTACAGGACAGGAAATCTATTTCTAATATCACAGTTTCTGATACTTTACACCTCACACGGTACTCTTGATTTGTTGCGTACTGGGTACAGAGATGAAAAGGGCCAACCCTAGAAGCAGAGCGTGGCACTGGGGTCACTCTTCATCACTACTCGTCCCTTTCCCTCCGGGTACAGGTCTCCTACACATGTGCCTAGGACTCTTCACGGTATTGCCCACGGCTTCTTAAAAGGAAAAGCAACACTCAAGAATGGTTCCCATCTGTATCAATCAGTCCTCGCCAGACAAAGATTTAATGCAAAATATACAAATACATAAGGAGTTACAAGACTGGCTCACAATGGCCCCCCACAGAGCCAGGTGTGGCAGGGTGCAGAAGGTCTGTCTGTGCTGGGATCCAAAGGATCCAGTTGAAGGCCCGGAGCTCCGTGTAGTGTCCCGTGCTAGTCCATATCAGTAGGCCGAAGGATCTGCCCTGGAAGCCAGGAGATGGCGTCCAAGGTGAAGGTGAAGAGTGGAGCTCCTCTGAAGGGACAGAGGCGGCCTTCCTTCCTCGTTTCCCCTTTGTACCATTCAGGCAACAAGCCACCCCAGGCTGGGTCTTCTGCCTTCAGTCAGTCCCTCAATCACACTCCAAACTCTGCTGATCTAACTTAGTTGGGTGTTTCTTACTCAAGTTGACACAATACGTTAACTATGACACCATCCTTTTGAATTGTGGCCTTCTGACGCTTAGAGATGCTATTTTCTTGCCCAAATGAAGCCCAAACTATAAGGTTCACACTGTGTAATGTTATAGTTTGACAAAGCAGTCACACATTACATAATTATTTAAGATAGATGCTTAATATAAAAGTGACCCGATTCAGGTCAAGCATCAGGCAGGGCCCTCAGCTATCTCCCATTCTCGAGCTGCCTCTGATAAGCAGTTCCCCCAAGCTCAGCGGCCCAGCGACTTTGTTTGTCCCCTTATTGATTCTCGTGCCCCTAACCAGAATGCGGACTTCCTGTGGATCTAGAAGATGCAGCTTTTGATAGAAACATGTTCAACTCAAAATCCCAACCTCAGTCTGTCAGGGCCCATGTGGAGACCCTGCCCAAGTGCACTCAAGGACGTTTCTGTTCTACTGGGTCTCAGCCAGGAGTCACCCCCTAGAGGTCACCAGGAGAAACTGTCGATGGAAGATTCTGCTACAGCAGTGATAGCAAACCTTCTAGAGACCAGATACCCAAACTGCAACTCAAAGCCATTTATTCATCGCCAAGTGCCAACCCTGCAATTAAACCTGAATGTTGAGGGGTTTGTTTAGGAAAAAAACAACTGTCACCCAGTGTTTAGCTGGAGGGGCGACCTGCTCACGTGCTGACGGAGGATGCTGTGTGCCTCCTGCAACTCGTGTGCCAAGGCTCGCAACACACAGAACCCTCCGCGTGACGGTCCATTGTAGAGTCAAGCTGAATAAGAAACACCCGGCAGGTTGGTTTAGCACAGTTCTGGGTGTGTTTGGGTGACTGCCTTACTAAATAGCAAAGCCCTCCCTGGGGGTGGGTGATACCGGCCAAGAGGCCTGTGACCTAGATGGGATAGAAAGGGAAGGAAAAAGGGAAGCCCGCCACATTTGCTTCTTCAGAGGAGCCCCGCCTTACCACCCCCTAGGACATCTGTCCCCAGGCGCCCAGCACAGGCTCCTCACCTCCCCACGCAGCCCCTTCCCTGGCCAGCTGGTGTGGGCCCTCACCCGCTTCTCAGTGTGCTCCAGGCCGCTGACTTCCGCCTGGACCTCCGGCTGGCCAGCGCCCAGACAGCCCTCTGGCTTCTTCCACTCAACTCCACAGGTCAGCATTACAAGTCTACCCTGCAAATCCTTGATAGATCAAATCTATTCCACTAGTGAGCCCTAACTGACACACTCTGCCTGAGCGGCTTCCCCACCCCTCAGTCCAGACACCCCGCATGTGGCACAATGTCTGCGTAGACCTAGATCCAAACAATCCCAGTCTGGAAGTCGGCTAGAGTGGATCAAGAGGAATTTAAAGGAAATCTATGCTTTAATCATATTTCCTTTTTTCTTTTTTTTTTTTTTTTTTTTTTTTTTTGAGACAGGATCTCGCTAAGTAGTTCAGGCTGGCCTTGAACTCACTATGTAGCCCAGGCTGGCCTTAAACTCATGGTGATCTTCCTGCCTCAGGTTCCTGAGTGCTGGGATTACAGGTGTACACCACCACACTCGGCTGTTCACATTTCTTGAACATTCTAGAGAACCTCAGGTGAAATCTACAGCATAAGCCAAGCCTAGCCTGGACAACTCAGTGACTTAGTGAGACTGTCTCCAATTTTTTCTAAATGTCTGGGAAATGTAGCTCAGCGTGAAGACCTGGGTTCAACCCCCACTACCACAGGGGGCAGGGGGGCGTCTACAGCACAACTATTAAAATGCTTGCTCTTAATCACCGCTTCTCTTTCACCATCATCACCGGAGCTGACCTGAAGCCTTTCATAAGGCCCAAAACTCCCTTTTCAGCAGCAGTCGCCACTCTTTCCATTTCTTTACTACTTTACTTAATTATCCGTCCTTTACTATACAGACCCATTTACCTTCTCCCTGACCCCTGCCTTGGCAAGCAAAAATCCTTTTTCTTTAAGAGGGGGTTGGGGAACAACTAAGCAGGCTAATAAATTCAAGATTTTCTTTCACAGATATAGTACATTAAGGCATTAATACCGTGTGGTGGTACTGTGTATTAGTGCATCAGAACTGTGCACTGTGACCTTAACATTACAGAGCAGTGCTGTACTTACTCCTTCCATGCTGGGCATCACACACTACCCCAGCTTGCCCTCACCTGGCTGTGGTCAGGCCTTCCATCGGTATCGACCCTCTCTGGTACTCCCACTTGGGCTTGAAGGACTCTCTGGGCAGGTAAGAATTGTAGACCGGGTAGTTCTCGGTGTATTCGGAGAGAAGACATGGTTTCTCTGTCTTATCATAAATCTTAGTAGAAATATGTGGACAGTGATGCCGCCTAGAAAAGACAGACGGAGTTTGGTTGGTTACCTTAAGAAGAACGCATCCAGTTTGATAAGGTCACCTTCTCCAAATGCGATCCAGACTAAAACTGCCTGGATGTCAGAATTTTTTTTTAAAAATACAATTTAGGGCCAGGGAGATAGTTCAGCAGCACAGCACCTGCCTGGCAAGCACGAGGTGCTGAGTTCGATTCCCAGGACCAAAAAAACCCCACAGTCTAACCCTACCTTTTGTCTACTGAACTGTGTGGAGTGGCCAGAATTCAAAATATACAATCAGTAAATCAATATATGCTGGATGATAAAATTATACACAAGCATGCAATTGGTGAGTCAATACACCTTGGATCCTAAAATTACATGCAAGCAGGGCTGATGTTCAGCTGTTACACATGTCATGCTATTTGTGTAAACACTTACTGTCATAGTCTGACAGGCAACGGCCTGCCCCCCACCCCCACCCTTCTGAGTGCTGCTCCACGCCCCCGGGCTATTTCCTGAAGCCTCTGGACCACCGGGCAGTTAAGGGCTTACAACCTACCAGGGTGCTCCCAAGGCTCTGCTCTTTGGCCACGCTGGGGAATTTTCTAAGTGGTTGGTTCTGGGTCAGTTCAAAACACCATCACTGCACACAAGTGGGATCCTTATTGCACGAAGCAGAATCACTTTGGTTCAGAGTCCACTAAACACCACTGGTTATTTTCATGTTGAAAATAGTTATTCTTTCAGGTCTCACCGTAATCATTGCACCCTTAGACGTCCCCTGGTGATCTTATCCCGAAACACGCGCCACCATCACCTGCCCTCTCCTTCCTGCCCCCTTGCGCGCACACACAGTTTCTCTCCTCACCTTGCGTGCCCTTCCTCAGCCCTTACTGGGACACTGTGCGTGGTCTATCTTATCTGGCAAGCTCAGGACCGTTGTCTTTCTTGTTCACTGCTGTCTCTAGTTCCTCACATCCTGCTGGGCACTTAATAGGCATTCATTAAACACTCACAGAAACTGAACAAATGATGAATATGTAGTTCAGAGATATAATTTTTTTGCCTTTTACCTACATGTTAATAAAGTTATTCTACTTACAGCTGGACAAAAGGCAGCTGTTGACGCTGTCACAAAGCGAGCAATGTATAAATTACTTGTGTACCCACACACAACGCTTACAGCCTAGCTGGACAACCTCTAGCCGTCAGGCCTCACCATATTAGCAAAAACTTCACTTTAGTGGTTTCCAACTTAGTTATCACAGGGAATGACCTGGCATTGCTCCTACATTTTAATTCCAGCAAACAGGAGAGGAAAGAAGACTTTTACTGTAAAGCTATTTTCTAGCCAATAGCTGGCCTGCTGTTCCAAATCGTTAGTCAGTTCAATATTTTACCTGTACCTAGCTGCCACTACTGTTGTTCTACAGACCTCTCCTCAAGCTCCCCACCCTTGCAAAAAATTTCAGTACCTGTATTATCATATGGTGGGAATTATACACTAAAAAATCTTTAGAGATTTTCCTACTTTCTACTCACTGTGGAACTGTGTATAGGCAAAGCATTAAGGCGATATCAAATTGATTCACGTAAATATTTTAGGTGCATTATTCCCCCTTATCTGGGGGGATATTTTCCCAGAGGATACCTGAAACCACAAACAGTACAGAACCCTGTATACATACTGTTTTATCAATTAGGCACAGTGAGAGAGTCACAATTCCTTACTATAGACCTCAGCATATGATTTCTTTCCCTAGAAAGAACTTTCACCATTTCACTTAAGGAAAGTACTCTGAGGCCATTAAGTAAAATAAGGGTTACTGGGACCTGACTACTGCGATACCACAACTGACCTGCTAACAGAGACGAGAGGGGGGTAGCGTGCACGGTGTGCATATGCTGAGTGAAAGGGTGATTCTCAGCCCACTCTGCATGCCACCACCCAGAACGCCACACAGCGTTACACTCATAAAGTGTCTATTTCCGAAATGTACTATTTGGGGGCTGCAGTTTACTGAGGAGAACCGAAACCAAAAAAGCAAAACAAGAGATCAAGGGAGAGGACCTAATATTTACAAGGAGATCTTCCAAATCTATGCTGTCCTCACTGTACGAGTACCTACACTTCCCAGTGTTAACTGTGATCAGTAAAGGTTTTAGGTTTTTTTCAAAATGTACGTTGCTTGCAATTAATGTACCAAGCTTACTTTGCATTTCTATTTTACATATATTGAATAAAATATCTCCTAGTTGTTGGTGCATGAGTACTTTAAAATACCTTCTTTAACTCTAGAGATAAATTGTGTGCTTCCACAGTAAACAAAATAACCTCGGTATACAAATGTTAGATATTGTCACCGTTTCTGTGCTCATAATCAGTTCAGCAATCTGTATTTCAGTCTGGGTCAGGTAGGACCCTGTCGTTCTAGGAGTCCTACAAACCACAAACCAAAAGCCAAGAAGCACTGCTTAACAAAAACCTTTCTGTATGTGTATCCTATTCCCCACACTCTGAGAGAAAAGCTAAGATTTTATTAAGGACAACTCAAAGTCAGGCATTTGCAATAAAACAGACTCTGCAAAAATAGTCATTTACCTTTCCACTGTCCCTGCTTTTTTAAACTGGTAAAGTTTGCCTTTGTATATTCTTTTTCTGTATTATTTGCTGTTTTTACAAATATAACGCACTATAAAAGCTCATTCCAACAGAAAAATAAAGTTAACAGCAAAATACTATAATGTGGTCAGTACCATGAGAATGGATTTCAGTACAGCAGTAAGTTCCTATCCAGACACTGAAGTTCTATTACATGGAATTATATGGACGTATTTTTACAGGCAGATTCTATTTATTTGACTTCTGTTGTGTTAACTGAAATTTGTCTTACTTTGAAATATCAAAAATTCTTATCCAAAAATGTCTCTTTGCCTGAGTTTGCACCTGTGGTTGTCTCTTTGCCCTACCCAGATGCCCCTCTCAAGATGCCAAGCCTAATGGCACTGCTCATCTGCCTTCCCCTTAGGCCAGAGATGAAGTCTATGAGCTGTGTGTCCAGGAAGCTGGCCCAGAGTCTGATATACTTACTTAACATTTGCACGGGCAGACAGTTGGGCAGTATACAGGAGGAAGGACTGCCTAATGAGAGATACTTGGAAGTCATCAGGAAAAGGATAATGACTAATTTGCTCCATCAGTAGGGCCAAAAAGGAAAAGACAGATTCTCGGTTTTTGTGGAACCACTCAGTATCTGAAGAAAGTTTGCGGAAATCATCATACTTGGGGTGGAGTACTTAGGGGTGAAGTATTTAAAAGTACATTTGAGGGCCATGAACCAAAGAACTGAGCCCTTGTCAAGAAGGGAGACTTGTATCACTTTAACAGCTGCCTTTACCGCTAGGCTACGGCGCTCAAAGTCAGGAGCCAACAGCAGGAATGAAAAGGAGAGGGAGAAGGTTGCTTCAACCCCCGACAGCTCTAAACTCTTTCCACTTCAGCGTTTACTACTCCAGAGAGAAAAGGAAATATCTTGAATTTCTGCTGTGCAAATGGAGTCATAGAGAGCTTTTGAGGAAATACAGAAAAAGTTAAAAATAGTTAATGCTGAGCATTGAACTCCAAGCTAAATTCATAGTTTTTAAATGGAAAGGGACAATGGAAAATATCAAATACAATCTCTCCAATATGCAGATGAAAACTCTGAATCTCAGAACAACACACATGAAGGCAGGGTAGAGAGAACAGAAAGAGATAAATGCCCTATCAGTCAATAAAAGTATTCTCAGCATCTTTGGGCTGGGGACATAGCTCAGGGGCACTAGCGCCTGCCTGGGAACTACAAGGTCCTGAGTTTGATTCCCAGTGCCAAAAAAAAAAGTACTCTAAGCATCTTTATTTTTTTTCTACTTTTGGAGAAAGCTTTCAGCACCCAAGCGTGTTCAGTTCCTTTCAATTTTCCAGTTCTAGATCTGCAGTTTCCCTGGGGGACGCCTCTACCACATGTGGCTTCTGAGCCCCTGAGTTGTCACAGGTCCAAACGAGATATGCTCAGTTATTGGCTTTTGAAGAGGATAAAGAAAATGACTCATTACTTTTTATCCCGATTGCATGTTAAAATTATACTTTAAATATACTGAGTTAAATAAAATATAGTTAAAATTCCCACCGCTTCTTTTCACCGTTTTGATGTAACTAGTAGAAAATTTGAAATGATATTACTGTATATGGCTCGCGTTCTCTTTCTGTTGGGTGTCATTATTCTAGAAGTACCTATTATTGTACCCTTAAAGTTCTGTCATCCGTTCTAGGTTTCCTGAGTCGGGGGTAGCTTGAGCTAGCTGCCCGTCAGGAAGGCACCTGCTCATTCAGAGGTGACAGAGGCCTGTTAGGTATCCATGGTTAGTAACAGGAAGAGAACGGAATAAGGGCCTCATCAAATCTTCGGCTAATTCTGCCTAGGAGTTAAAACTTTACTAGAGAGATTCCCCTGGGAATAATTCTAAGGCTGGGGTAGAGAAAGAGAAAAACCATGTAAGAGAAGACACAAGAAGCTCAGGTGGCCTGAGGGACTTGCCCGAGACAGGGAGCCGCGCCCAGGGAGAGCAAAGGCGGGGAGGGGCCGACTACCTTCAGGAAAGCTCTTAACGCAAGTGTGCACGCACAGCCACGCACGCATTCATTCGTTCACTCTAGGGTCACCGTCTTACTCACTCTCAAGCCATTATATGTTACAATAGGTGGCCACACGCCCCCTCACCAACGCTAAGCTCACCAGGAATACGGCACTTCCTTGCCAGCCCGCCAACCCCAGAGAGAAGGCCCTGAAAGGTCAGCAAAGACAAACAAACGAGAGGAAGCTGTGCGCAGACACAGAAGAGATGACGCAGGCAGAGGTCCCCAGAAGCCCATCGGGTTATGCCCAGCTCTGAGCAGGGTAAGGAGCCCTTGACCCCCTACAGGAGCAGTCGGAAACAGAGGGCCAACGAGTCCTCCATATCTGTGTTTTCCTCATCCCTCTTTCCAATAAAGTTTTCCTTTCCTCGAGCTTTGTATCGTTGATGCTTTACGGATACGAAGTTGAATCCTGGTGAGCTGCCTGCCCGCAGCCGAGCAGAGCACTGACCCCGGGGCACGGCACAGCCACGGCCGCTGGTGAAGACAAAGGCACGGCGGCTCCTGCCCCCGACAGGCAGCCTGGGGAGGAGCCGGCACAGCTGCGCTTGTCCAGCAAGTTCACCTCCAGTCATCTTTCAGAAGCTCTCTGGAGTTCTAAAGGACAGCAGCACCTGTGGGTCTCCGTGACTCACCTCACCTCCGGTGCAGTCCTCCGAATCCCCTGTGCAGTCCCACCTGACGCACGGAGGAAGAGTGTTCACTCTATTCAGGGAGGCAGCGTGCACAGTGCAAAGGAAATTCAGAAGCAGAAGATGTGACTTCCAGTCCCAGCCCTGCCACTGAATACTTGCGTAATGTTGAGAAAATTACTTAGTTCTTCTCAACGCCAATTTCCTCCACTGTAAAGATGTGAACAACTCCTGTACTTAGTATGATTAGGTGGATTAAATCAGGTGCTGGAAGTAAAATGTCTAGCTTGGTCCAAGACAAGCACTCTACAATTAATAAGCTACATTTGTGAAGTAATCACTAAGTACCACATGGGACGAGTTTTATGTATTCTCCCAACTAATCTTCACAGCAGTGCAATGAGAGGCACGATTACTATCCCCATTTTATTAATATGAAAAAAATAGGCTTAGGGGATACTACCACCGGGGATATAGCTCAGTGGCACAGCGCCAGCCTGGCAAGCACTAGGTCCTGAGTTCAATTCCCAGTACCAAAAAAAGGAACTTACCACCCAGAGGGTATACTACCATGCTGGGGGTCACATGGCTAAAGGTGAAGAAGCCAAGATTAAACCTAGTCTTCAGGTCTGTGCTCCTCACCACAGCCATATACTGTATGGTTTAGCAGGACGCCAGCCTGTACAAAATACACGTTTCCTGGGTGATCAGGTACACCTAGAGGTGGTCAACGAGCAGGCAGATCCTGACCTGTCCGTTCAGCTACACTTGGAGCCTTCCAAGACTGTAGATCCCCCCCACCTTTCTCAGTGACCCTGCAAATGCCCCAGTACTAACCAACAAATAGACACAATTCCAACTGCTCTTTAAAACTCTCAGCTTTCTCTGGAACTTTCTTTACTGTCGAAACAAGATACTGTCAGACAAAGTACTAACGGTAACAACCAGGAAAATAAAGACTACAAGATGCTGGATCTAAAAGGACCCTAGAGGTCAGCCAACCTTACTGCTTCATCAGACAATGTGGATCCTGATACCAAGACACATGGGAGGTCAACTGCCCAAGGTCACACAGCTGGACAGCCACAGCCTTGACACCACCAGGGCCCTGTCTCTTCCTATGTAACTGACTTCCATCTACAATCCCATTTAAAACCCGAAGTTCAGGCTCAAAGGATTTGCAGCCCATTTTCCCTTTTTCCCAGTGGACGCAAGCTTGTGAGCTGTCACAGCTGCCGTGCAAGAGGAAAACAGTTCGTGCAAAAAATGCACTCTCTGTCCAGTAGAGGGCGAGGTGTCAAGGACTGCCAAACCACAAAAGTCGTTCTCTTCTGACGGTTCAGAAAGATTCCAGGGTAGCTGGACGAAAGAAAACTCCGAGTACTAGAGACAGGGCCTTTTCAGAGGACAGCCCTTACCTCCAACCATTTTATTTTCCTTAATAGCCCCCAGAAAACCAGCCTCAGTTGTTTCTGGGGGTGAGCAAAGCCACAATTTTTTGTTAAGTATAGCTATCTACCTGCAATAATTTAATTTTTTTTAATTTACTTAATAAAAATTGTCCTCTTGTATTTATAACATACTCAGAGACCAAGGGACCAACTGACAATGCTCTTATGGACTCACAGTCAGCTTTTGGACATACGTACATACACTGCAGTTCACGGCAATAGAGACAAGATAACCTCATACTCCCTACCTTTGCCTCATCTAAACAGACCGTTCAGGAATCAGAACAGTATGAGAAATACCTCATAGGAGCAACTCCAGTGTATCCTCTACCCATGTGACAGTAAAATGAGCAAGGATTAGGAGCTGGAACACTTTACTAGTGACTTACTCTTCACAGGACCAGATTCTGGGTAATAAAAAGCAGAGTAAAATTCCCTAACATGTACCAGAGAACAAGGTGCCTTAAAGATTATCTAGTGCAGATACGACATGAAGACGTACATGATATACTAGCCAGCAAGATTCTGAGAACAAAACAAAGTTCAGTGACAAAGGCCTCCTTAATGGACTGGCCACGCCTGCCAAGGGCACCAATCAGGGGAAGGGACTGAAGGGAAGAGGGTCTTGGTGGAAATATCCGCAGGCTGTTGCAAAATGATGACTTGTAGGAATCACAAGTTTGGAGGACATCTGGAATGATAATGAAGCCATAAAATACACACGAAGTTTCCAAGAAGAGAAGGAAAGAGTAAAAACAAAATTTTGGAGAACACTACACAAGGAGTGAAGAAGTGTCTGGGAAGGGGACTGCCAAAAAAAAACAAAATTCAGAGGTCAAATGAGAAAACTTTCAGCGCTCAACAGTTCAACGCTACAGCAAAACCAAAAGGCGCGAGGGCCAAGGAGAAAAAAGGCATCTCATTTGGTAGCCAGAAAGCAGCTTTAGTAGGGTATGCCACCAAGGGACCGGTGAGCTGAACAAGAAGCAGTAAGACAGCGCAGGAGCTCAAGAAAACACCCAGAAGAGGGCTGGGGATGCGGCTCAGGGGTAGGGCTCTTGCCTTGCATGCACAAGGCCCTGGGTTTGATCCCCAGCACCACAAAAACAAACAAAAAATAAATTACCCTGAAGGTACGTGAGAAATGTTAACTACAAAATGACATCAGGGGACAAATTTGGAAGAAATGAAGGCAGGTTGCCTTCACAGGCAGAGGGACAAATAAGCAAATAGAGCATCTTCAGTGCAGCAGCAATGGATGGAGCAAGAGCTGGAATGCCAAGGAGACCTGGAGACGGTGGGTGGGGGAGGCAACGAGGCTAAGGAGAAATCTGGGAGGAGTGGGAGGAGTCAGGAGAATGACTGTGACAAGGTACAGTGGATCACGGCATCCCTGAGAGACGGGACAGGACCCTGACAATGGCCCCACCAAGTCTTAAAGGGAAGCACAAAACCATTCCAGTGTCCAGGGTACCATCTTTCTAGTTATTAAAACCATTCTGGTGTCCAGGGTACCATCTTTCTAGTTATTAAAACCCAGTCATCCAGGGGGAGTCGGGTACCACCTTGGGCACCACTCAGAGTAAATTCTAGAATTTCTAAACTGTTGGGGCAAAAAAAGGGCCAGACAAAATGGATTTTTAGGTGTGCTCGTGGCACTGTGGTTAAACAAGATGTCCAGCAGGGTGCGGCCGTCATCCTACTATAATCCCAGCACCTGGAAGGCTGAGGCAGGAGGACTGCCGCAAGTTCCAGACAAGCCTTGGCTATGCAGTGAGCTCAAGACCAGTCTGGATGGGGTGGGGAAGAGCATCCATCCACCCTTTAGAGACAAGCAAAGGGATATGTGGGGTGAGATGGCAGGGTGGCTGGAACTGACGGCTGAACCAAATGTGGCAAAACCCTCCCCACTGTTGATGCTGAAATCTGGACACATGGCAGGTTGTCACTGATTCTCTTCTGCAGATTTAAATGTTTTTCTAAATTAAGGAATTATGAAAACAAATCCCTGAGAGGCAGGACCTACTTGAAGCAAGCATGTATCTGCTTAAGCAAGAGCTTCCCTTGAGGCCAACGCGGCTCTGGTCCAACCACCTGGGAAGAAGCAGATCTTGATTTAAGCTGATGATAAGTGCAGAGCCAACAAACAAAGGAAGCTCCCTTCTCACACTCCAGCGTTGGTGTCAGCTGCACCGCGCTTTTCCCACAGCCTTTCAGGGTCCTCCAGCCAAAAAGCAGCAGGATCACATACTGGACTGGAGTGTTACTCTCTGCTCAAGAAATCCAGTACCCTGTGAATTTCAAAGAAACCTGACAGCTGCGCTGAACAAATCTTTCCAAGGCTTTCTTCCAGATATTACAAAACAACCACCGAGGCCTCTTTCATCTCTGTTTCAAAACAGAGACCGCCTTTGACCCACCATCTCACCTCTGCCCAGGACTGAGACAGCACCCCTTGATAATTCGTATCACAGCATTCATCCATCCCGTGGAGCTAAGGAGTGCTTACCAACCAGACTGGGCTCCTTGCAGTGGAAGGGCTGGCATGTTCACTATTAATTGAATAGCCAGTTAAATGCAGTACCTGGAACACCCCACACTTAATATTTTTGGACGGATGTACAATTTGTGAAACGCATATAGCTCCTAGAACTCTGCCACGTGGTCTTGCCATATTCTTCTGCAACTCAAGGTCAGACAGGGCAGACATTAGGGTGCAGTCTGACGCCACTGCCACCACCGATATCCTAGAGCATATGGCCGGCCCAGGGGGTTAAGGACTTCTTCACGACCACACAAGGATCAGCGATAGAACCAAGGTGATTGTCTGCTTTGTTGACACCTAACAAAATGCTCTTTTCATCCATCAAATTCCTTTCTGAGGAAAACTCACGCTGACTACTCAAAACATGAGATTCTCCTCTTCCTACAAGCACGAAGCGTGGAGTCGGGGATGTGTGGCCTCTGCCTTACCAAGCACCAGTGAACGGGACCCAGTAAGCACGGCTCTGACTCGGAAAGCAGGAAGAGCGCATAGTTAGATGGACACTACCGTCTGTACAACCGCAAGTGTGGGCCTGCAGTACCACCAGGCTAAACGTCTCGTACCGTTCTTTATCTCGTAATGCTTAATGCTAGATGACAGGCGGACACATACTGATTTCTTTCATAATTTCTCTCCCACCACACAGGTCTCTTTCCTAATTCTGCATAAATAATAAAGAAGTGCTATACTCTTCATATCCCTTTGGGGGTGCTCTGAGGATTGGCTAGGATTATCTTGAGTGCCTAGTTTTGAGGTCAGATTACCCCACGTAGGAGTTCAGTAAAGACTCCTCCGCCTCCTCCCCAAGCTTCGAGTTTGGAGAGGGAGCTGGAAGTCCCAGGCAAGCCTGTGAACAAACCCTGGCTGCAGCGACCACAGCCACTGCCCCCTGCCCAAGTCCCGCTGTGCACACGGGGCCGCAGCCCTGGCCATCTGCTTTGGGCTTCAGCTTCGGTGACGGCCTAAGGCAAACCAAGAAGGTCCAAAGGGCACGACTTCCAGCCGCCGCCCCCATCTTCTCCGGGAAAGTGCCTCATGGTCCCCACATCTCCCTGCGGGACGATCACGCACTTTCTGTCCTACACGGAGTTACCA